TAAAATTTTGTTCTTTGTTCAGGGTATGGAATTAGCAGCCGCCCATCATCTTCCACCAGGGGATGAATCAGTTGCTGGTCCGACTATTCGCCCAGTCAACCTTTCAATTTTCCAACTCATGGCCCCTTTTGAGGCTACGGCTGCCCTAAATCAAGTAACCTTCTAACCTTATCTCTCAAAGAATTCACCATATTCCTTAACTTACTATTCTCTTCCTGGTTTAGGCTACCCAAGAGATGAACATTTTGGCCCGAATGAACCTCCCGACTCCCGTCAGAACCATTGTGGAACGCTGCGCCAACTTGGATTTTGCTGACTTGGAAGTGGCTGACCTTTCGGCGCTAGTCCAAGTCGCAATAACCCTATTGGTCCAACCTGCCTTGGAGTCGGGAGCTTCACCTGTTCTTGATCGGATGATGGCCAGGATCACCGAACTTCAAGCTGAACTCCCTCTGATCCGACCCCCATCATCCGAGGCAACTTCATCTCGGCTAGTTGCAGATCCCACCAACATTGAAGCAGATTTGAGGAAGGCCGATCAGGACCTCAACATGGCTAGGGCCCGACTGGACGAGCTCCGACAGGAAAGACATTCATTAGCTACTGAAATCTCCCAAAAGACCGAAGAACTTCGACGACTTCAAGAACAGTTGGAAGCTCTAGATGATAGCATTCAGGAAGGAAGTCGTCTGGTTGAAACACATTACCTTAACCAGACAAGTCTTTGCGAGCAACTTCAGACAGCTATACAAATGAGACTCGTCCAGAGACATCAAGAAGCTTACCAACGTCGACGGGCCATCAAATTAGAACTAAAATGAACCGACCTCAAAACTTCTTTACGGGCTCTTCTCTCTATGTAATGCAAATATCATATACATTGCCCCAGACTTAACTTGTACATAATTCCTATTTTCAGAAAATAGATCCTATCTTCCCTGCGTTTAAACTAAGTCTAAAATGCAAACACAGATCCATGTTTATTGCCTATTACTAAATCACCTAACTTAGAAACCAAAATATCTATATAAACTCCGTACCTCCAACCTCGAAACGTCATCATCATTACTCTTTTATTCAATATGGTTTCTCCTCGCCTCCGCGTTCCTCTTTCCAATTGGGAAGGTGCTCTTCAACCATTCTTAGTAGGAAAGCACCCCATAGGTCACCATGCTGAAGACATGATACAGGTTTTGAAATAACTGGATTTTAAATTCAAATTCTCCGGTAGAGGCAGGAGAACCATTCATCGTACCATCTGACTGATGGAGCGTATATCCACCAGCTACGAACCTTATACTGACATACTTACACGCATATCGGATCTTGACTACCATCTAGACATGATAAACCATCATGTAACCGCCATTCTCCCAGACCTTAGTTGGAACAACGATTTCCAACTACAAAGATCGACACTCTCCAGACTGAGTGTCCTTGCTGAACGAGAGAGTCAGTCCCTGCAAGATATGAAGTCCCGAACTGAACAAAATCTTCAAGATATGCAAGACCAATGGGATCGCTATCGCCTGGATTTGGATGACCTTCTGGAAGAAGAACCTGAAATGGTTTCGGCGGGCTGGGATGATACCATTAATCTCTCTGATGACTAGAGAACCCTTTTATCAATGGGTTCGAACCCTTTGGAGGGTTCTTATTATATAACTTTTTTTTCTTTTAATAATTAATGACAAAGTTCCGAAAAGGCAGGATAATACCTCTTCAGATACTTAGCATTAATATTCTCATGTACCATTTTTCCTTCTTGATTTATAATAATAAAGGCTTCATTTCCAATTACTTTATGAATGATGAAAGGACCTTCCCAGTTGGGATATCACTTCCCTAATTGATCCACCTTCTTATAGGTCGGCAGAATTGTCTTCCAGACTAGATCGCCTTCTGCAAAAAACTTAGGGACCACTTTTTTCCCATAGTATTTCGCCCTAATCTCGCTCTGCCTAACCACTTGGTCCAAAGCGTTCAATCGATCTGTATCTAACTCTTTCAATTGTCGCCACATCTTTTGTAAATACACCTCATCGATACAGGCTGTTGTACTGGTCACCCTGGGTGAAGGCACGACAAATTCTGCATGTAATACTACATCTTGCCCGAATGTTAATTTGTATGGGGAGAATCCAGTAGAAGTACTTCTACTATTTCGATGAGCCCACAATGCCTGAGACAACAAAGTATGCCATTTCCTTAGATTCTCTTCCACCATTTTCCGAATAATGCCAACAATAATTTTATTTTCTGCTTCGGCCAATCCATTCGCCTGTGGGTAATACGGTGAAGAATGGTGTAATTTAACATTGTATTCAGCCAAAAACTCAACAAACTTCAACCCTTGATCGGTTGTGACAGTGTGAGGAATTCCAAATCGATAGATGATATGATTGAGTACGAATTCAATCACTTCTTTCTGCGTCGCATTCTTCAAGGGAACTGCTTCCACCCATTTGGTAAAATAATCAGTCGCCACCAAAATGAAAGAATGTTGTTTCGACGAGGCCGGATGAACTTTCCCAATTACATCCAACGCCCAAGCTTTGAATGGCCAAGGTTTAACCATTGTCTGCAAATCTACTGTTGGCAGATGATGTAAAGGACCATGCTTCTGGCATTCTTGACATCCCTTAGCAAATCTGATACAATCATAAAAAATTTTCGGCCAATAGAATCCCATACGATGGATAGCCCATCGCATATTTAAACCTGCCCGATGCGCACCACATATTCCTCCATGGACCTCCTCCATTATTTTAATAGATTCTTCAGGTCCCAGACACCTCAATAAAATCCCTTCAAAGGTTCTTTTATACAAAACCCCATCAATAAGTTGGAAACGTAAAGCCTTTAACCGGACGAACATGAGTGGTGGAATTTGGGGATTCCAAATACACCATGATATTTGTTCTCCAATCAATCTCAGAATCAACACTGCCAATCATCTGCTGACAAGCACTCTGAGCCAAATTATCGGCCAACCGATTTTCTGCTCTTGGTACATGCTCAAAAACTACCTCCACAATTCTATGTAACAGATGGAGTACTACATCTCGGTATTTACGCAAATTAGGAAAATTACAAGCGTACCGTTTCAACACTTGGTTAATAACAAGTTGAGAATCCCCATAGATTAAAACAGACTGCATTCCCTTAGCGATAAGTGCTTCCAAACCCAAAATCAATTATTCATATTCTGCGGAGTTATGTGTCATCTCTTCCATTTGAAGTTGCAAATTAATTTTGCCACCTCCTGGTCCTTCTAATATTACTCCCGCTCCTGACTTTCCTTTCCAACGGGAACCATCAAAAAATATTTTCCAAGGACTGGTGCCGATGTAGGGCATTATTCTGTTTTCTGATGACCCAACACTTGTAAATTCTGCCAACAGATCAGCCGCAACTTGCTCTTTTACAGCTTTGCGGGGTCGGTGCCGCAATGCAAAAGGAGCCAACTTAATGGCCCACTTCATTAATCTTCCTTGCATGGTTGGTCGGTGGAGAATTAGTCTGACCAAATCCATTTTAGAAACCACTTCGGTCTCTCTTGGCAGAATATAATGTTCCAACCGAGTGCAAGCAAAGACTAGAGAATAGCACATTTTTTCAGGCATACTGTAATTCAATTCTGGTCCTGCCAAAGTTTTACTTAAATAATAAATGGCTCTTTCCTTACCATCCTCCCATTCTTGTACCAACAGACTACTTACAACACCAGCACTATTCGCCACATATAGCCGAAGAGGTCGGTCGCCTCTTGGAGGGACCAAAACAGGTGGATTAATCAATGGCTTCTTGATTTCTTCCAATGCCTTCTGTTGCTCATGACCCCAAGAAAAATCGGTGGCCTTATTCCGTAATAATTTTGTGATAGGTTTTAATTTCCCTGCGGCGTTTGATATAAAACACCTTAGGTAATTCACCTTTCCCAGAAAACTTTGAACTTCTTTGACCGACTGAGGCGACCGCATTGTCAGAACAGCTTTGGCCTTGTTCGCATCAATTTCTATCCCCTTTTCATGTACTAAAAACCCCAAGAAATTCCCTACCGAAACTCCAAAGGAACATTTCGTTAGGTTCATTTTCAGGTTGTACTGCTTCATTCGAATAAAAGCATTTTTTAAATCAACCAAATGTGTATCAAAGTCGGTAGACTTAATGATCACATCATCAATATATACCTCCATTGACCGCCCAATTAGATCATGAAAGATAGATCATGAAAGATGGTGTTCATAGCCCGTTGGTAAGTTGCTCCAGCATTCTTTAACCCGAATTGCATAACTGTCCACTCATAGATTCCCAATGCTCCTGGGCATCTAAACGCGGTTTTAGGTATATCTTCTTCTGCCAATGAAATTTGATTATACCCTGCATATCCATCCATTAAACTTAAAATTCGATGCCCTGCTGCATAATCGATTAACATGTCTGCTATAGGCATGACATATTCATCTTTTGGAGTGGCAAGATTGAGATCTTTGAAATCAATGCAGATTCGGATCTTTCCATTTTTCTTGGTTACCGGAACAATATTGGCTAACCATTCTGCATATCGACATGGACGAATGAAACCAACCTTCAATAACTTCTCTATTTCTTCTTTAATCTGGGGCATCAATTCTGGACTCACTCTCCTTGGTGGTTGCTTATAAGGTTTAAACCACTTTATAATAGGCAACCTATCTTCTATTAAACTGCGCGCCAGTCCGGACATTTCGGAATAATCCCATGCCAGACATTCCTTGTGATCTTGAATTAACGCTACCATTCGCTCATGTTTATTTTTCGTCAGTAAACCACTTACCCTGACCATCTTGGGTATCTGTTTGGTTCCCACATTATATTCAATAAGAGGATCCTGACTTGACAAAGAAGTTTCTGTCTTTTCCAAGAGGTCAGGCCAGCGAAAACCTTATTCTTCACCAACATTATTGTTGGAAATTCTATTATTATGTAGTCTAACCATTAATTGGTTTAAATAAAACTGCCTAATCAGTTTATCACATTTATTTATTTCTTCCATAAATTAAACTTCAAATAAAAGTTTATTTTGGCTAACAACAGAGCCATAATACAGAAGATTGTTTCTAATGAAACACACAACCCTGCGTAGTGAGCTTACAGCCCTTCCAGGGATACTCATCTACCATAGTTGTCCGTGAAATCGGTGGTACGTACTCCGTATAAAGAACCGATTCTTCCACTCCTTCTGTAGAACCGAACGGATTTGTACTGGCTTCCATAGTGAAAACCCGATCTCCTTCCCAAAACATAATCTGTTGATGGAGAGAAGAAAGCACGCACTTGGAAGCGTGAATCCAGTCTCGCCCCAATAAAACTGAGTAGGTAGTATTGGCATCCACAACAAAAAACACGGTCGAAATCACCTTTGGTCCGACCTCAATGGGTGCCACCATCATCCCTTCTGGTTTGGTCGGTTGTCCTGTGAAGCTCGTCATCTCGATGTCTACTGGAGACAAATCGCCAACCTCTTTGCCCAATTTTCTTAAAGTTTTGAGAGGCATGACATTGAAAACTGCCCCATTATCAATAAAAACCTTGTTAACCGGCTTACCACATATGTGAGCGTTAACATATAGTGGTTTTAAATGCGGGATTGCTCCTTCTGGTATAGGTGGAAAAACCATAGGTGGGGGTCTTCCAACCATCGCCGCCCATTCTGGTTCTTCCTCCTCCACGAACTTTGCCCAAATTGGTTCTTCTTCGATGAACCATCGCATATCTGTCATCCTGACTTCGAACCCTGCTTTATCAAGCTTTACTATCTCGCTGCGCAAGACTTTCGTCTCTTCCGGGGCAAAAGATCCAAAAATTATCTCAGGAGTTTGTTCCTCTGCATTTTCTATTTCAGGATCAATATTAATCGGCTTGCAGAATTGACATCGAAAACATTTGGCCTTCTTGATAGGCTGGCTAATCTGCCACTGCTCCTCAGGTCTCTCATTCGAGCTTTTCCTTTTGGGTGATGATTCTTTCTTTTCCTTACCCTTATCTACTCGCTTTCCATGCCGCGCTGCATACCTGCGTTTAGCGTTACGAATTTGTGTGCGATTTCATACCTGGAAATCGAGGATCAATGTCTATTGGAAAAAACTTTCTATTCCGGCTCCAGACGTCCTGGACTGGATATGGTTTGCGCGTTGGTCGGTCTCGTACCACGACTTTATTTTTCAATTCTACTTTGAAAGACCCATCTTCTCTATCCCATTTCTCTGCCACTCTAGTTTCACAAACTTTGAACTTCACTTCCTGATTGGATTCCCGTTCTTTAGGCTTGCGTTCTTTTCGTTTGGTGTCTTCTTCATCATCACTTTGCACAACTTGTGAAGAACGTAAAGAGATCATTGCAGTAGTTACTTTTGGGAAGGGCTGATGCTCTACTCCCATTGTTACATATTTGAATCTCCCTGCTTTGATAGCCTTCTGTATTTCCTTTCGGAAATGTGTGCATTGATTAGTGTAATGAGTAAAGGAATTATGCCACTTACAGTATGGCCTTCCCTTTATTTCTTCCTTCGTTGCCAAACGCTGCCCTTCAGGAATGCGAATTTGCCCGTCTGCCAACAGAATATCGAAGATTTCGTCGGCCTTGGATACATCGAAGGTCGGCTGTTCCCTCTCCTCTGTTCCTGACAAAGGCTTTAGTTTCGAACAAACGTACGGTTTGCCACTCACAATTTCAGCTGCCATCTCTTCAATGATATTTCCTTGCTCTTCATCTAGCGAATAAATTTCTGTATCAACACTAGCCATTTGTTGTACCCTGTTCCGACGGAAATTGTGATCTTTTTCTCTGAACAAATACTCCAATCTCCCTACTTTGGAGGCCAGACTAGCCAAGTCCTGAACATCATGGGCTGTCAATGCTTCCCGAAGTCTGGAATGCATGTTCCTGACCACCAAATTGGTCATTTCACTTTCCTCGATGATTGTCGGCCACCGGCCTTTCATGAGTCGTATTCGTTCGATGAACTGATACGCGGTCTCTTCTGGCATCTGTCGGATCTCTAAAAGATCTGTGAGTGAGACCGTTGGGAGGGGATTAAAAAATCTTGCATGGAATGCAGCCTCCAGATTTTCGCAAGTTTGCAACTGCCCAGATGGCAGATTTGCAAACCATGAAAAAACGGTCCCTGTAAGCGATAACCCGAACAATTGTAATTTGTAGAATGAATTATTGCCCACTTCCCCTAATTGAGCCGTGAAATGTCCCACATGCTCAATGGTTGATGCCCCATCTTCTCCGGAGAATAAATGAAAATCGGGTGGTCTGTAATTCCTTGGAAACGGATGCTCATTGATGATTCTTTCTGAAAATGGCCTCTGGTACGCAGGTCTGTTGACTATCTGGGGGTTCATTCCAAAATGTACTCTTAAGACCTGAGCGATGTCCTCTGGGTCTACTCTGGGTGGTGGGACAGGGTCCAATACTTGAATGGGATTGTGAGTCTGGCCTCCCAATCTTTCCCCCCTGAGGTCGGTAGGTTCGGTCCTAACACCCAACGGAATATTATTCGGGTATGTAAGAGGAGTCTTCCCTCTGTCAACCCTCGGGGCAATAACACTTGGAAAAGTGTTGTCCACATATGAAGGCCCCGCAAAATTTGCCTGTAATCTGGATGGTGATAGTTCTAGCGGCGTCTGGATGGGTTGCAAAGTAACCCTTGATAACGCCTGATTTAACGTATTTTGCATAAGATTTTGTTGCTCCCACAACATTTGTTGCTCACGCAACATATTCTGCATGGCCAATGCTGGTTGTTCAATTGTTGAACATAAGAAACCCAGTCGGCAGGTGTTTGTGGCATTTCTCCTTTATTTGGCATGACGGGTGGTGAAACTGTTTCTCCCACCGGTGCCGAAGATGCTTGAGGCTGTGAGCCTGCCATGTGGATCCTTCCGACGATTCGGCCGGACCTCAGTCGTATGAAACTCTCCGTTGACGTAGGATCAGCAATCTTGCCTTGCTCCCACTGTGGTCGCCAAATTGTTGATGTATTTTTTTTTAACAATAAAAAGTAAAATCCGAAAATAGAGAAATATCTTCGAATTTGATAGATGAATGCCTGAGATTAGAGATCTCTAAACACTGTAGAATACATAAAATAAAATAGAAAAAATAACAATAAAAACTGAAAAATAAAGTGGTGATCCCCAAAAGCAATTCTCTTGAATTTGATGTCGATTGAAGATCCCTTCTTTGTACGGTATAGCATCCTTAAATAACCCCTTGAAGATGCGGTTCGAACCGCTACCTAGTCGGTTACCATAACCACTGTTAACCACTTCAAAAATTCTCCTATTGACACGTGTGTCAACCGTCCTCCCACGTCCGACCTTTGAAAACCGCTCGCCAGTTGAAACTACATTCCACTACCAGGAACTGCCCCCTCACCCGACCTGCAAATTGGCCATTTATCATCCGACCTTGTACTGTCTCCTTTTGTGTCCGACCTTGTACTGTCTCCTTTTGTGTCCGACCTTATTACACCTGACCTTTAGACTTGATCCGACTTCAATGCCCAATCTTCGCACGCCCGACCTTTGAGATTTATGCCGATTAGGTCCGACTTCGATGTTTGGCCTTATTAGATCCCGTCCAAGTCCGGCTTCACTACCCGACCTTATTATATTCAACCATTGGAATTGTCCCGACCAGGTCCAGTCTCATCACCCGTCCGACCTTTGGGATTAACCCGACCAAGTCTGACCTTAACGTCCGACCTTTGGGATTAACCCGACCAGGTCTGACCTTAACGTCCGACCTTAAGCTCATCCGACCCAGTTATTGCAGCTATACTTGGACTTTCAAAGAGCCCACTAGACTTTTCGAATAAATCTTAACCTAATTTTGGTAGGCCCATTCTCAAAAATCCTATCCACCATTTTTTGTGCTCAACACTAATATAATTAATAAATAATTAAAATATATTTATTTGTGTAAAATGTATAATAAATTTTTAAGAGCATATAAAGAATAAAAAAAAAAATTTACAGAAAAAGCTATTTCAAAACGTTGGATAAATTAGCTTTTCAGAAATCAGTTTTTTTTGTCCAAAAAGCTATTTCAAAAAGCTAATTTACCAAACACCTAAATTAGCTTTTTGACTGATCAAATCAATAAGATAAAAGCTCTTCAAAAACTATTTGCCAAATCCCCCCTCAATAATTTCTTCTATTATTAAAAACAAAATAATTATCCATTCACCACCTATTTGTTAAATTCCATATTAAAGGCAACAAACTACTAATCATCACCCTTCTTTAAATTCTAAATCAAATTCATTTATTCTCACATTTTCCTATAAGCTGCCTAGCTTATAGCATCGTCCATCTATTAAATATTACTCCTTCCGTCCCAGATACCGTGTCTGCTACACTGTAGACACGGTATTTTAGAAGGGGTGTAATTAGTAGATAATTAAAAATGTATTAGTGAAAATAATTATCCTATAATATAAATAATTATAAATTAATATTAAGATAACTAATTAGTTTAATTAAAATTAAAAAATAAAATAAAATTAAAAAATTTAAAATGAGATTAAAGTGTGTAATCATTTTTCAAAAAAGGAAAGTGACATGGTATGTGGGACGGACAGAAACAGCAACGTGGACATAGTATCTCGGACGGAGGGAGTATTAAAATCAAATCAAATCAAAACCAGCAATATCACATTTGTACAGTAGTATATATCATTTATAGCTAATATAAACGTATATGGGTAAAGTAAGACACTAAGCACATCATGCTATGAAACTTTAAACAATTTTCATCGTTCAAAGCCTATGTCTTTTCTCTTTTGTAATAAGTTCAATTCCATAAAATAAACGAAGCAAAACCTAATAGCACAAGAAATTTCTACAACAATATCTTCTAACCAATCACCCCTACTTATCAAAACAAACTACCAGTTCATCTTCCAGACTTCAGATAACATAACAAAAGTAAGTAAATCAGCTATCGGAATGAACTTCATTTATACAAAAGCAATATAATGAGGATGCCTCAATCCCAACCTCGATAAACCCAAGTACACCACCCCTCTGCCAAGCTTATGTATAAGTTGATAGCATAGGTCAATTTCTTTCTTGACCTATTTTTCCATGAAATCATTGTTAGTGTAAATTCTGCTAAAGTAGCTAAGAGAAGACATTTATGTTTGAAACAGGAATACAGTCAAATGCAAACAACAGATTCCATAACACGTCTTGGAATTTAACCTAAAATAAAATTGTTAAACTAGCATTCATATCGATAAATTTTCAGTAGCAATGGATTGATCAAATATAACGTTAGCTGTTTGCTTGTGTTACACATTAAAATTAAATGATCATATATGTGGAATCAAAGAACTAATGGATAATCAATTAGACCAATAAACAATGATGAATAATTGAAGAGAACTTCCAATGAATCCTACAGCCTAATCAGCGAACTCCTCATACAAATTCAACATTACGCAAAATTTTAAACATTCGATGAGCTGATTTTCGAACAACCCTCATACATGGAACATCATTCTCAAGATTATTACCTGACCTTACAATTACACCGTAGCAAAATCAAAACTTTGATAGTATTAGTTTCACTAGAGGAGTCCTGAAACTCAATTTGGGCTTATGCTTTCAGTTAGTTTCACATAGATAAAAGTACATTAATCGCACCTCATTAGGTCATCTTTCTCTCCTCAAAATCAATGCCCTCCAGTTTGGATCGCAGATACCTTCTAGAGTTGTTGATCCTGCAAAACTCAGGAGTCCTGAAACTCAATTTGGATTTATGCTTTCTTTCAACAAAAGTAAACTTCATCGCCCCATTCGCACGAGTTGCTGTGAAACTTTAAACATTCTTTCATCGTTCAAAGCCTATGTCTTTTTCTCCTTTGTAATAAGTTCAATTCAATAAAATAAACAAAACAACTATACTGGAAAAAGTATGATAAATTTATTCCATCAATGCTCAACTCACTAACATCATTTAATAACAGGAAAAACATAAACCGTACTTAGAAAATAATTGACCAGACTCATTCTTATACACTTCGTATGTAATTTATCCTTCAACCCAAGAAAACTTCTTGAATAAAATATCAGTTGAATTCTCATTCTATTACATTTTAACAGATTCGATGAAAAAAAAAATAAACATTATTGTGCAATAAAGATGCAACCAACAAATCCTTTTACTTTGAAGAATATAGAATTATCAAAATCTGCACATAATAGATTTTCTGCTCTCGAACCCCCTTTCTCTCTCGCTATTAATTTTTCGAAAACTCTGCTATTGTTTTGTACTTTCACAAACCCCCACCACAAATCGCACCAACGAAACCCTATTTCACAAACCAAGTTCAGAAAAGGAAACTAGAATCGAACAAAGATAGATGAAAATTTTAAAAAAAAAAAATATTACCGAATTAGAGGCCGGAGAGAACCTTTGGTGGGACGAGTCACCAGTCCGCCGGCAAGAGAGAAATCGACATACAATACATTGATCGACAGACAAATCGCTATACAAATAATAATCAATTTTGAAAGAACGAAGAGAAAAAAAGAAATCTGACATGTTACCTCGATGTCGCCTTCTTCTTCTTCTGCACCAAGTAACATCCACTGACGGACAAAAATAATACTTCTACCAATAGGTCATTGGACAATGAAATTTTAGATGGGCTATGAAAAAACATCTAAATATTCAAAATGGACCTGAGAAAAAAGGGCCACTACAATTGCTTGTAATGTAAATCAGGGGGCATGTCATAAACTCAGTAACATTCTAAAAATTAATTATCATATAATATAAATATTTATATAATTATAAAAAATAAGTGTTGATTGATTTTTTCAACAATAAAAAGTAAAATCTAAAAATAGAAATTATCTTCGAATTTGATAAAATAAAATGCCTGAGATTTAAGAATCTCTAGACTACGATACATAAGTAAACTAGAAAAATAAATACTACAGACTGAAAAAATAAATAAATAAATAAATAAATGTTGATCCCAAAAGCAATTCACTTGAATTTGATGTCGATTGAAGATTGAAGATGTCTTTGTCAGTTGCGAACCCTTTCTTTAAATATTCCATAAAGAAACATTTTGGAATCGTCGTGTGTTCGGTTACAGCAACCGCCGTCAACCGTCCACTAAATCCTCCTTCATTGACGCGTGTTTTTAACCGTATCGCCAACCGCTCATGCCAATTACAAGACTTAACCGGCTCGACCGACCGACCAATCCAAATACTAACTGGTCGCTAGACCAAAAGACTCATTGGTCGCCCAATCAAGCGACCACCATCTGGTCCCTTCAATCGGTCGAACAACCATTCGTCCAGACGACTCATTGGTCGTCCAATCAAGCGACCAACTGACCGCCCTTTTAAGCGACTAAACTACTGTTTGACCAAGTGACCGGCCAATCGATCAGGCGATTAACAGGCTGCCTAATTAAACGACAAATTAATAGACCTTTCCTTTTGTCCGGCCTCCTTTTGACCGACCTCCGTATCGGCCGTCTCATCTTTCATCGCCCGACTTCCTCTTTTGACCGACCTCCGTATCGGCCGTCTCATCCTTCTTCGCCCGACTTCCTCTTTTGACCAACGTTAAGACCCTGCTACCATTATCAGGCCCATTGGACTATATATCAATCCAATTTATAAACCCTATATATTATTATTATTATTATTTTTACCTCAACAACTTGCCTCTTCCCGCCCGAATCCTAAGCGTTACTTCTCGTGACGTTTAGGAGTTTGCAGGCCATCATCCGAGGCCACGTTAGCCTCAGATCCGACCTCTATCATCCGAGGCCACGTCAGCCTCTGGTCCGACCTTCATTTATCGTGGACTGGTGGTGGCCTGCACGGTGGTCGATCTCGCACTACCATTTTGTCGTTTAACTCCACTTCGAATGAGCCATCCTTTCTGTCCCACTTCTCAGCACCTTCCCCTTGTTCGTCGTCTGGTGCATACATCTCTGTATCGACAATGGCCATTTGACAGAAGTTGTGATCCTTTTCTCCAAAGAGGGATTGGTCATCTCGCTCTTCTTAATGATTGCCGGGCAATGTCCCTTCATTAGTCGTATCCACTCTATGAATTGGTAGGCAGTCTCCTCCGGCATTTGCCTGATCTCCAGAAGGTCTGTGAGTGAGACTGTCGGAAGAGGATTAAAGAACATTGTATGAAAGGCCGCTTCTAAGCCCTCCCAAGTTTGCGACTGCCCTGACGGAAGATTGGCAAACCAAGAAAAGGCTGTTCTGGTGAGCGACAACCCGAACAACTGCAATTTGTGAAACGGATTATTGCCCACTTCCCCTAGTTGAGCCGTGAATCGTCCCACATGCTCAATGGTCGATGATCCATCCTCTCCCGAGAATGAGTGGAAATCAGGTGACCTATAATTCCTTGGCAGATGATGCTCATTGATGATTCTTTCTGGAAATTGCCTCTTATATGCCGGCCTGTTCACCGTTTGCGGATTCATTCCGAAATGCACCCGCAGAACTTGAGCGATGTCTTCCGGATCTACTATAGATAGAATAGGATCGAACACAGAAATAGGATTATGAGCCTGACCACCTAATCTTTCTTCTCTGGGGAAGGCTGGTTCGGCACTGACACCCAGTGGAACATTATTTGGATACGTTAGAGGAGTCTTTCCCCTATCAACCCTGGTAGTGGCACTTGGAAGACTGTTGTCTACATCTGATGGCCCCGCAAAATTTGCTTGTAATCTGGATGGTGACTTCCCTGGGGGTGACTGGGTGGGTTGCAGAGTAACCCTTGATAAAGCTTGATCTAACATGTTCTGCATGAGATTTTGTTGCTCATGCAATATGTTCTGCAGAGCCAAAGTTTGTTGATTGTTCAATTGTTGAACATAAGACACCCAATCGGCAGGTACTTGTGGTGCTTCCCCTGCATTTGGCATAGCATGTGGTGAAATTGTTTCTCCCACCGGTGTTGAAGATACTTGGGGCTGTGAGCCTGCCATATGGATCCTTCTGATGATTCGGCCGGACCTCACTCGTATAAAATTCTCTATTGACGTAGGATCAGCAATCTTGCCTTTCTCCCACTGTAGTCGCCAAATTGTTGATTGATTTTTTCAACAATAAAAAGTAAAATCTGAAAATAGAAATTATCTTCGAATTTGATAAAATAAAATGCCTGAGATTTAAGAATCTCTAGACACCGTACGATACATAAGTAAACTAGAAAAATAAATACTATAGACTGAAAAAGTAAATGGTGATCCCCAAAAGCAATTCACTTGAATTTGATGTCGATTGAAGATTGAAGATGTCTTTACCAGTTGCAAACCCCCTCTTTAAATATTCCCTAAAGAAACGTTTTGGAACCGTCGTCTGTTCGGTTACAGCAATCGCCTTCAACCGCCCACTAAATCTTCCTCCATTGACACGTGTCTTTAACCGTCTCGCCAACCGCTCCTGCCAATTACAGGACTTAATCGGCTCGACCGACCGACCAATCCAGATACTAACCGGTCGGTAGAACAAAAGACTCATTGGTCGCCCAATCAAGCGACCACCATCTGGTCCCTTCAATTGGTCGAACAACCATTCGTCCAGACGACTCATTGGTCGCCCAATCCAACTAACCGCCCTTTCAAGCGACTGAACTACTGTCTGACCAAGTGACCGGCCAATCAATCAGGCGATTAACAGGCCGCCTAATTAAACGACCAATTAATAGACCTTTCCTTTTGTCCGACCTCCTTTTGACCGACCTCCGTATCGGCCGTCTCATCTTTCATCGCCCGACTTCCTCTTTTGACCGACCTCCGTATCGGCCGTCTCATCCTTCTTCGTCCGACTTCCTCTTTTGACCGACCTCCGTATCGGCCGTCTCATCCTTCTTCGTCCGACTTCCTCTTTTGACCGATCTCCGTTAAGACCCTGCTACCATTATCAGGCCCATTGGACTATATATCAATCCAATTTATAAACCCTATATATTATTATTATTATTTTTACTCAACAATAAGTTTAATTAAAATTAAAAAAAAATGAAATAAAATATAAGATGGATAAAAACAAAAATAGTATTAGTAAAAATAAGGCTAAATTGCACAAAATCCACCCGTGATTTCATAAAATTGCACCAAATCCCCCATACTTCTAAAACTGCGTCAAATTCCCTCGTGGTTTCATAAACTTTGCGTCTAACCCCCTTAGCGGTCCGTATTTAACGGTATTTGATCTAAATGCACTCAAACTGCGAATAAATTTTAGAATCTCAATTTCTAAACCCCTAAAATTACAAATATATTTATTTTTTATATATTTAGCCTAAAATATAGTAAAAATAAACACTTAAAACATGAGAAAAATAGCTATTTTTTAGTATATTTACTATTTTTTTAGAGTAAATATAAAAAAATATATATTTGTAATTTTAGGGGTTTAGAAATTGAGATTCTAAAATTTATTCTCAGTTTGAGCACATTTAGATCAAATACTGTTAAATAAGGACCGCTGAGGGGGTTAGACGCAAAGTTTATAAAATCACAAGAGAGTTTGAAGCAGTTTTAGAAGTATGAGAAATTTGGTGCAATTTCTTGAAACCACAGATGAATTTTGTACAATTTAACTTAAAAATAATTATTATTTTGTAAAAATAATTAAAGATTAAGATAATTAAATAATTTAATTAAAATTAAAAAATATATATATACATATATACAAATTTTAAATTTTAAAATACAATTAAAATGTATAATCATAGTTTAAAAAATAGGATAATACGAAAATAGAAACAATAGTGAGCAATATCTAATACAGAAGTAGTAGTTTAGCGTAAGACAAGTGAAGAAGTTATGTGAAGCCATCATGATTACTCATTACTAACCACCCTCTTGTACCAATTGACTCCCATCACACTTCATCTTTCAAGACAACTAAGAATAGAATAGAATAGAATAGAACAGAAAAGTAAGACTCATGAAGACTCACTATCGACAGCAATTACATAGTCCTCCTCCTCCTCCTTTAATCAAATGAATAATAATGGCCCACCCCTTCCCTTGTTTCGCTTCCCTCTCTCTCCTTTACATTCATTAATTTAGAGTAGTTGTTCTATGTTACAAAAAAAAAAAAAAAAAGAAAAAAAACCCCAGAGACAAAATTGTGAGCTAAATGTAAAAGCCATAACCATCCATCCACCATATATCATCACCAACTCTAGTCTACGCAGGCCGCAGCATTCACATCATCTTCTTGGCTCGGCTAGGCACAGGACCGTATCTCTTACTGCATAGCCATCCATATTAGACAGAACAGGAACCAGAACCAGCTAGTCGGACCAGACCAGACCGGACACTTCTTACCAGCTCTATGATTAGAATCAACTATCTGGATCAGCGCCTGCCTGCCTGCCTTCACGGACTCCACCATAGGCTGACCTTTTTCGGAGGCATTTTGTCCCAGCAGCAGGTTAATGGCCAATAATGTTGTCAGTAAGGAATCACATATGGCAAAGCGCACACGTCCACTGATTCAAGACGTACAGCTTCTGACCATACACATGGATCCTCCCTATTATTATCCCCAGATGCCCTACTGGAAGGATCTTTCATGTTGAACAGCCAGTCCTGCTCATCAATTTCGGACCATTCTTCCATCTTGGGTACGCTTAGTGCATCGCTCAAATACTTAGAATCAGGATGGGGAGGCCGCTTTGATGCTTCACCAATTAGAACCTCTAAATCTGGAATCTTCCTTGCCTTGTTTAAATTTTTGGGATCTTGAGGAGGCAGTTTTGAAGCTTGAACACTATGGTTGCCGACAAATGTTGCCGCTGAAGAATTTTGTTTGGATGGAGATGGTCTATGGGCTTCGACGATGCCATTAGCCAATTGGTCCCTTTTATCCACTTGAATGTTGTTGTGGATGACATGCTTGTCAGGAGGCAGTTTACAGGGAGTTTGGTAACCTTTGAGTTTCCTTCCATTCTCTACCGACTGATGAGGAGCTGGAGCTGGAGCTGGCTTCTGAATTTTATGTGGCCTGATTTCGTTATCTGTAAACAAAAACTATTCACAACTGGAAACATAGAATAGATATTGTTTCAACAAAAAAGGAGCACGGACACAATCCAAAATCAATTATGTTTCCAATGTGAACATCTTATTATTCTTTTATACGATAGCAAAGCTTGACAGACCAGAGAACTGACCGTGCATTAGACCGTTTGTATCCATATCTTTTCTTTTTCTGATGTACGCTTCATGAACTGCAGTATTGTTGAACAAACCAGGGCATGGGCCTGCATTGCTGATAGCTCCATCAGGATTGTTCCTCGCATCATCTTCAAGCAGGCTGTGCGCAGTTTTCTTATTTTCGTCTTTCAAATTTTCTGCATCTTTCATTCTTCTCTCCTTCTCCTTGTCCTTTTCCTTCCCATGGTTTTCTTTATCTTTCTGCTTGTGCCCCGGAGTAATGTTGCATACTTCCTTGTATTTCTCTTTATCTTGCAACCCCCTGCAATTTTTCTGTTCCATTGGTCTTGAGATCCGTTCAAGCTTACTTTGTGACAAAACGTTAACATTCTCAGTCACTAGTCCTGGGCCTTGAGGATCTATTTTCCGATCGACTCTCTTAATTTTTAAATCAGCTGTTTCTTCAGTCCGTACAACTGAAGAATTCCTGGCTGTTGTCTCTTGATCCTTTCTGCCCATGGGTTCAACTTTATCCAAAAACTGGCTCCCTTTACCTCTCTTCTCATCTCTGTTCCTCTTATCTGGTTCCTGCACAAATCTTGAAGTGTCGGTTCTCTGGGTTGAAGGGCTGCTCCATAAAGGCTTCCCACCATTTTGGCTCTGAGAGAGGACCAAATTGCTATTTTTGCTGTGATCATTCCAAAGAAGCTTCCCTTCACTCTGTTCGTCAACTTTTCCCGAAACTGCTGCCTCCTCAGAAATGCTGCTTTTCTCCTTTTCTTTTCCTCGATCCTCATTGGCCTTCTTCTTGTCCTTGTGCTTATCCTTCCTGTCCTTATGTTTTTCCTGCTGTTTTTTCTTCTCCCTGTGTTTCTCATTGCCTCCTTCTTTCTCCTTTTCTTTATCCTTCTTCCTTTCCTTGTCCTTCTTTTCCTTTTTGTGCTTTTTCTCTTTGCGCTTCGCCTGAAAATGCTGGGAGTTAGAACCACATTCCACCCAAAATCGGTATAACAAGATACTGAACCAACAATAAAGCTTTGATCCAGACAGAAACAGAAGTCAATACAAAAATCATATTTACTTAACTGCAGTTTGAGTTCATTATGTATAGTTGGCATGATATAGCAACATCAAGGGAGTTTCAAAATAATTCTCTAATGTTAAATTAGAAAAACAAATCTCTCTGCATGAAACCTTTTGTAGCAAGACTGGAGTGCCTTGATATTCCTTAAATCTTGAAAGTGCCATAGAAGAGAACAGAGAACACACACACAAAATTTATAAACCAAGATAGCAATACAAATACAATAAATAACCCGCCTTACAAGAATATAAAATCAAAAAATTAGCAGTTTCCACAAAAGCATCTAAGTCCAAAACTCAGTCCACTACACTAATTTGCACCTTGCAAAACAACATGCCATTTTAATCTTAACAATAACAATAATCACCTATCTGCAGCTGTGTGTATGCCATTATAATAGAGCATCAGGAACAGGAAGATATCCAAAATTAAAAACAGCTGGCAGTTTTCTTAACAGAGGCCATAGATCTTTCTTTGCATCAAAATTTAAATGAAAACAAAAAGATAAATTAAGCGAAATAGATAATCAAGACAGACAATTCCACCTGCAGATATAAATTATAACTATTACAAACGCATATAACATGAAACATATTCAGGATCTTTGAAAGGAAGGGAAACTTCCGTGCAGCCAACTTCATAATAAGCAACTCAAAACACCTTTCACCTAAATGATGTACAATGGGATAACTCCTGATTTCATTAAAGACAAAATTAAGATTCAAAATTAATCATAATTAATGACAGTTTAGAAGCAATGAACAAATATAGGGATGCAATGAACTTTGGTATTATTTGACTAATGTTAAACAGCCATCAAGAGAAGTCTACAAGTTGTACTCCTATGGGTGACCCTCAAAAGAAAAGAAATTAAACAAATTAGAATGGCTATAGTGCTTCCATGCTTAACTAGAGGATGTTGGCAGTGCATTGAGTGTCCACCATATGCCATACAATGCTTTTTCAAAAGCACAAAGAAAAACACCCCAAGTATCATGACTACTAGCTCTTCAAAATGCAGTAGATCATGGTTCTGAACAGCAAACGATGCAGCATGGTAAGGCTCCCCAGGGCCATGGTGTATGGAACATGGCACACAACACAGTTGTGCGCCACTGTGAAGTATGTTGCAAATATCTATAACAAAAAATATATATTATGTGGCGATAACTACACATAGAAAAGTAATCAAATTTAATAATAAAAAATCATATAAAATCTCAGCTATTAATAATAATACAATTTATACGCACTTCTAAAAAACAATCACTTAATCCTAAACCCTATTTAGCAGAAAGCCAGAATAACAAATGAGGAGTAAAAATTTATACTTTTCTATGTTCAATTATTGCCACATGAATTTATATTTTTGGTTATAAAGATTTGCGATATACTTTGTAGTGGTGCACAGCTGTGTTGTGTGCCATGTGCCATAAACCATGGCCATTGGGTTCAAATCAACCCCTTTCGTGTTTAATTTTGTACGAATATTTATAAAATAATGGGAAATTTATGCTTGAAATGCCTTCACTGTGGCATACATGAAAGCCTTGACAAATGGGACAGAAATGCTCAGTGATAACTGATAAGTGCCTCGTATAAAAACCATGTGTCATTTAAGCCATGGCACGCCATTGACAACTGTACCATATATAATATTGGAATCTATAAAAAAGGCAAACAACTTGTCCACCAAACAACCTCTGAAAACTATATTCTCTACACATTCATAACCAAATGAGCAATGAATAAAACAAGGAAATGAAAACAAGAAGAAATGTAACTTTCACACCCACATCCATATGCATCACATACTAGAACCACGCGATAAAATATCAAACAACACTAAGATCTAGCAGCATTTCTGGGTCAACTGGAAACACTTTTCTTCTCTCCAAACATTTAAATGATGCTGTTATCAATTTCAATGTTATGAATAATTTTAATTAAGTTAGCTTGTTATGTATTTAATAAGATCAAAGATGAGAAGAGCAACAATGCAATGAGTTCCAAATGAACGATCAAGGATGAAAATGCCGTATGAACTTCATCAGCAAGAGATTTCAGTAGCACACTTGTCTCGCCAAAGCAAGTCAAAACAATTTGGCAGTTGGGTTCTGTTGGCACTTTCTAAAGGGAGGGGATCGAATCCTGAATCCTGATTGTCAGATTAATCATCATATAACTATCTGGCTATCTCATAAGGTACCATCAAGTGCAAAACCAAAACAATCAGAATCTACTCTCTAGACTTGATTTATAACAAATAAGCACAAAATTATGTCTAAAAGTGTTTAAGTTTCTCATATGTTACTCCCAGAATTTATTTTTTCTTAATGCAAGGATCCATGTATAAGAAATACTATTTGTAGAAAAACTTCCCTTGTTGCGATAACCCTCGGAGTTAGGCCGTTACTTGGCCAACTCCCGTGTGTAGATGAGCCGGTATTAGGTTATTAGAAGTTGATTAGAGGTTAAATGAATTTAATAGACCCTGCTCAAAGAACTCTTAGAGTTACGCGTGTCTGCCCTAGGATAATTTGAGGATGAAAAGTCTTCCATAATGCGCGTAAGTGATGACAGAAGCGCGTTGAAATGATTCGTATTGACCTATGGGGCCAGTCTACAATCCCGACAGTCTCGACTTCACGTGGTTTGCAGGCAGGGGTGTCACACTTGCCATCATCATTCAGCATAGAACAAACACAAGCAGCTTAAATTTGTGTTCTCATACCAATTTATGAAATTGCTTTCATATGCTATATGCTTCCAAGACCAAGTGCATTCCAGGATAGAAATATTTTTCTATTTCCCTCCATGTCATATTATATGAATGACACTAACTATGTTATCTAAAGCTGACCTCATGATTGCAGCAGCTTAGGGCCATTCACTGTTACAAAATTACAGGATATACACTATTTATTATACGACGATTATATCAGCCATCATTACTTAATGAATTAGAATCAACAATGCCCATAAATTCAGGTCATCATGTTATTGCATAATGATAAGGCATCCGGATAATGCTGAGAGGCCACTTTTAACTTTCTAAATAAAATTTAAATCATCATAGTTCACATCAGAACATTTTTTAAATTGAAAATAACCTATTAGGGATATTAGGGCTAGGAAATAATGGAGGCGGGAGATGTAAAAGATAAGATGCAATGCAGATACAACTCTGCATTTATACAATCGTACCCATCCTTTTATATTTATTTATTTATTTTTGTGTAATATGTCGATTTAAATTTTATGAATGGCAAGCAGAATAATTTTTCCCTGAATTAAGGAAGGAAAAGGGAAAAAATCACTAAAGAAAGTCTAGCTGGCATTGATAGATATAACTATCACAGCATCAACCTAATGCAGCAAAATCAAGGAAACAGTATCTAAAAAAAACACGCAAGTCTATCTCAACTGACAGTACACAAGAAGACAAAATTAAGACTCAAAACACTCAACCAAAACACAACTGCATCGCTGCGACAAATAATATATCAGGTATCAACATTATTAACACAACTAAAAAGTTACAGTTAGATAGGCTCAACAGATGTCGTAAAAACTACCCGACAAGAGTAGGAATTAAGATCACTTCTACCAATCACTTATTATAGTAATACATTAAGTTTAGTTAAAGGAGCTGAGCAATAATAAAAAGACAAAGAAGGAAACAAACGAACCTCTTTCAATAAGTTTAAATCTTCTGGTGTATGCTTTCTTTCATATCCTGGAGGCGGAAATGGAAAACAGCGAGACATTGCACACTTCCACGTGCACACAGCGAAAGAAGACAATAATTAAGAAACTGATATTCCTGGATTACTTTCCCAGGAAAACAGCGACATAGTAGCAATTATATTTCCATCCATGCCAAGATCCTGCACTGATTTCCAGAACATGCTTGTTGTTCCATTGATTAGCATACCCAAACTGCACTTCCCCACACTCACCTGTCACTCCAAATATATACTGAACCCAACAATGTGTCCCCAGCTTAAGCTAAAACACGTTGCAACTTTTACAGCAAAACAAATTAGATATATATCCAATCACTGCTGCAATTGTAGGCCCCACAGTAACTGATTGTAAGTCGGAAACTAATTACGGAAGCAGAACGCAGATATTTATAGCTCTTGAGAAAATAAACTGAGGGCAAACAGTCAATCCAACTGGATCCTTTTGAGGCACTAAATGATCATTACAATCACAGCCCCCAACTTATCTCCAAAAATAAACCCCTAACCATTCCCTCAGCTGAATATATAAACATCCGAAACCCACCGCCACCCATTTCTTTGGAAATTCAAGAAGCTTGGATTTTTATTTTTGTCTCATTCAAGTACACTTTTGTGAGCAATCCTCTTCCATAACCAACTGCTCCGCACAGTGCCAATGCTTGCACCTAAGATGAGTTCTTGAACTTGTTGGGTTCAAAGTCACCACCACATAGGATTTTACAATCTATAGAAGTAGAACTGTAAACAGCAAAGCACTTAAAAACTTGGAAGCTCCCAATTGAACGCCTCAATTCTGATCAAAACCCTAACTGAAACAGTGCATACACAACCATCAGCAATCCGATCCCTCCCGATTCCAAAACCCTAGACAAAATCCACCATCAGTGAGTCAATTGAAAATCAAACCCTAAACTGTAAAGAAGCGATCAAGAAATTTCCGATTCAATTCGTCAAAGTGAATTTCCGGTTCCTTTGCCGAAAAAATCAGGTCCAAAATCCAGCAGCAAACTTTCCTCGAAAAGCCGAAGCAAAAGAAGAAATTTGCTTTCGAAAGAAGAATCGGATCGAAGAAATTATTCCAAAAGTCCAAAACCACCACCAACTAAACCAAAAAGCCTTCGAATTTCCAAAATCCAAATCTGAAAATATATGTATATGGAAAAACAAGGAAAACCTCAGTCGTCCAATTAAAATCCCCCAAGTTTAAACGGTAGTATGAAATCAAATTGAGCTCCAGCCCGTGCTTTTTACCTTGCCCGAAACAAAATGACGGAGCATTCGTAGAAAGGGGCAAGATCCCAGCCCTAAAAATTTCAATTGTTCAGTTATTACAAATACCACCACCACCACCACCAGTGCCGGCAGCAACAAATGAAACCCAGCCCAGCAATGAATGAATCCAAGCTATGGTATCGTCGATAAATTGACGAAATAGGCAGGCAGGCTCAAGTGTGTCTGTGTAGGCGAAAATGGCTGGCAGGGCAGAGACGGGGGGGTTTATTTTGGTGTTGGGGAATGAATAATAATAGCACGCTAACTGGGTTGGGGTGGGGCGGGGGAAAAGCCGAGCCGGAGCCAGAGAAGGAAAAAAGAAAGAAAAAAAAAAAAAAAAAAGTAGCAATCCCAAACATATATACATACACGATACATGCTCCTTGCCCTTGGTGCAGTTTTGGAGAGAGAAAGACACAAACATCCCTCACTCCCTCTCTCTCTCTCTGTGGCTCTTTCTCTCTCTATATATAAATAAATATATATATATATCAGCTGCGTGAGTAATATGGGAATGGGATGGGATGGGATGGCCCATGGGTAAAAAAGTACACATGAGAAAAATGCACCGCAAGTAAGTACAGCTGTCATTTAAGGCTGTCCATGAATGGGCTCTCCCCAGTTTATTTTGGGCCCAATTATTGCATAAAGGGAAATGATTTGGGGTACTGTTCTTGGGGCTTCGGCTATGCTGCTAAACCGTCCTAAATAAATCTTAATCATTACATTAATTATATAGATACATGGATCAAGATATAGATTTCTTTGCAATATTATTTTTTTATATTACCAACACGATTTTCTTAATTTCATATTTAAAAAAAAAAAATCAGATAAAAAACATTCAACAAACAAATCCTATATTTATAGGAGAATTTTATTTGATATATATATACATATATATTTAATTAGAATATTAATTTCACTATTTATGTGCATAAATTAATCATTACAAATATAAAAATATATAATTATACAAATTATTTTTCATTAGATGTTAAAATCATTTCAGAAAAATGAAAATTTCTTATTCTCTCAAAAGCATCCGGTGAGAGAAATAAAAATTAAATTGAAAAATATAAGATTTTCAAAATAGTATCTTACGTCAATTCTACTAACATCTTAAAATACACAACACAATCATAATACGTTCAACATATTATTAGTTGTCTTTTTAAGAAAGACTGAAAGTATTTTTAAGATGGACAACTTCCAAAGTTCATAATATTTTATGATATTTCATACTTGCTAATCCTTTAAAATATTTGAATTGTTTATTCGAAATTAAAAAAATGGATCAATATTATTTTATTAATATATATATATATATCATAATTACGTAATTTTGCTTACTAATCTGCATTACAGAAAAATATATATATAAATTCTATTTCGGTAGCTTTTAAAGTTATAATTTAGTCAACTTTGATCATATAAATATTAACAAAAATTAATTTATATTCATATTTTAAGAAATAATAATTTTGTCAATTATAATACCAATAAGTTTGCCCTGTAATTTAAGTATTAATTAATTCAGATACATTATGAAATATTAATCAAGGAACCTAATTTAGTCAAATATTTTTATGTTTTTAAAATTTCAAATCCGAAATCTTGGATATTATTCCCAATATTGTCTATAAATAAAATTATATTATAGTTCCAACAAATAATAGTATTTTTATATATAATAAAATCATATTGTAGCATCAACAAAGTGATAAAAATTATCACTAGGTCTGCGTTTTATGGCGCTATATTTGACATCATTTATGGTGTTTCATTGTAGCAATGCTATTTTACGACGTTGTTATTTTTATTTTTTTTAAAATTTAAAAAATTATATATTGGTCCATGTTTTAATTATGCACGGACCAATCTGAAACTTTATTTTTATTTATGTTTATTTGTAATTTTTATTATTTATTGGTGATTAAAATTTATAATATTTAATTTATTATAATTTAAATTATGTTTTAAATGTATTAAGTTTTTCACTAAATAATTAAAACATTTGTAATAAATTCAAAGTAATTTTTATATAAATATCTTTGTCACACAATAATATTTTATATTTGTAAATAAATAAAAATATATAAATTATCTTGTAACATACATAAAATGAATATTTAAAAGAAAATTTAATTGACCAATATAAATAAAAAATTTAATATCTTGATTTAATTAAAAATAATATTACAAAGAAATGCAACAAAATTCATTGAATTAAAAATATATATTACAAACACTAGTAATAGGAATACTAAATAAAAAATAATCATTACAAATAAAATACATAATTTCTAGTACGGACCTAAATCACGGATTAGCCAAATTTAATTGATATTGTGACGTTCTTTCCTTATGACCTTTCGTTGTTGATTATAATATAACATACGAAGATTTTTGAAATAATATTAAGATATCGATAAACAAACTAAAAAAATTAGTACCGTATACTAAGTATGTCAGATATACCGTACTGAACCATCACTAACCGAATTATATATACAATGTCAAAATATAATATTTTACGCCGAAATATTAACATGAAAAATAATTTCATAATTTTGTGCGGTAAATAAATTTTATATTTTTATCTTTTTTAACAAAGAAAAAATAAATTCAAAATTAGATGTCACTACTAACTAAATTTTCAATCATATAATACCAAATCAAACATTATTTTTTCTATCACATTAAAAACTAATTTGAAATTTTAAAAATTACATAAAGTTAGAAATTTCACTATTAAATATTTATTTAAATTTTTATCATTCAAATTTATATTCCAACTTTTAAATTTACAATTAAACAAACAATAAAACCAAAAAATATTAGTAATTTAATTAAATGTAATTACTATTATATTAGAAAATGGAACTAATTTTATATTACAACCACAAAAAAAAGGGAAATGCGGAGTAATTTGGAGGGATGTAGAAAGTAATTTATTTGATAAAAATAATTAGATTAATTAATATTTTAATTTTATTATATGTTTGTTAATTATTTCTAAATAAAAAAAGTGGACTAATTTGGTGAAACAATTAAAAATGAAAAAGTGAACCAATTTTGTGGGATGGAGGAAGTATAAATTTCTTTTAAAAAAAAAAATACTATATCCTTAAATAGTCCTAGTTTATTATTTTTGTTTTTTTTAAAATAATAGTTTTATTTTCATAAATAATTATATAATCACAAAATTATATTACTATTTTTTTACATTTAGATTAAAACACAATGACAAGAGCTTTTATCTATATTTTTATAGACTATTAATATAATATTAATATTTTTTAGATCACAATTATTTTGAGATGGGGAGTATTACTTTTTTAAAATTTCAAAATTTTATAATTTATAGTAGTATAATTTTTCATAAAATTGTAAAATTTCAAAAAAAAAATAAAATAAAATTATTTTTAACTAAAAATAAACTCATGTAGTTTTTCGAATGAACTGAAAACCCTTATGGTTCTAAAATTCCAAAAAATTTACTTGTGGTTTCCAAAATGTTCACGCTCTCTGTCTCTCTAAATTTGAGTAACCCACGTTAAATTTGATCAGATTTTATTGTTATACCCTTATTTATATAATTTTTAATTTATTTTTCTCTTTTTTCTCTTTTTCTTTCCCAACTGCACCAGATTTTTTTTCTTCCATCTTTCTTCTTCCTCAAATTCTTCTTCACACGTGCACCAATTTTTCTTTCTCTTGTTATTTTTCTCCAATTTTTTTTTTTCTTTTTTATTGGAGAAGAACAAGAGGAAGAAGAAGAGGAAGAAGCGGTACATGAACCACCAGGAGTTTTTTTTTTTTTTTTTTTTTTTTTCCCTTTGTTAAGCACAAAAAATAATAATAATAGTAAGTGGCAGTAGGATTCTGGGTAGGGTCTGAATGAAAGCCAAAAGGTCTGGAGGTCGGGCAGAATAAAGGTCGGGAAAAGGAAGAAAGGTCGGGCGGAGTCTAAAAAAAAAAGGTGTACCCAAGTCGGGTAAACCGTAGATCGGATGGAAGGCGAAGTCGGGCAGACGCGGAGGTCTGTCAAGAGGAAGGTCGGGCAAGGAAGATGTACGGACAGACGCGGAGGTCTTCGGTCAAAGACGGAGGGCGGCTGATGCGGAGGTCGGCCCAAGTGAGGTCGGGCGAAGAAGCAGGTCGGGCGAAGGACGAAGTCGGGCAAAAGAAATTTGGCAGTGGACAGGCAGGTCGGGTAAGAGGCAGGTCTGAGTTCTGTGACTGGTGGGAACGGTTGAAGGAAGTTGTAATACGTGTCAATAGAGGAGAAATTGGTGGTCGGTTGACAGCGGTTGCTGTAACCGACCAGACGGCGGTTCAAACCGTTTTCTCTGAAAGGCTATTTAAAGGATTCAAATCCGTCAGAAAAGGCATCTTCAATCAACTTCAACAAAGCAAAGTCAGATTTGGGGATCACCACTTTAAATTTCAGTCTTTTATTTTCCAGTTTATTTTCTGTATCATACAGTGTTTAGAGATTCCTAATCTCAGGCACTAATTAATCAAGTTTAAGGATATTTTCTATATCTTTGAATTTTACTTTATTTTTGTTGAAAAATTACATCAACAAATTGGCGACCACAGTGGGAGCAAGACACAATTGCTCATTCCAATTCCGGCGATAATTTCATACGTCTTAGATCCGGCCGAATCATCGGAAGGGTCCATATGGCAGGTTCACAACCGCAATCATCTTCGGCACCGGCGGGAGAATCCGTTCCACCACCTATTGTGCCAAATGCCGGGGAAAACCCACAACCACCAACTGATTGGTGGTCTTATGTTCAACAAATGAACAACCGGCATACTTTGGTTATGCAGAATTTGTTGCGTGAGCAACAAACGAGCATGTTGCGTGAACAACAAAATCTAATGCAAAACATGTTGGATCAGGCATTCTCCAGATTCACCCTGTATCCAAACATGCTTCCAGCCGTGTCACCTTCTCGTTTTCAGGCGACTTTCTCAGGATCAACGTTTGCAGAACCATCATACGTTGACAGTACGTTTCCAAGCGTTACAACTTTCAACCGAACAGATATGGGGAAGATTCCTCTAACTTTCCCAGAGAATGTTCCTTTGGGACCGAGGGTTGATAATACCCAGCCGAATGAGAGATTAGAGGGACAGACTCATAATCCCATCCCAGCCGAACCAGCCTTCTCCAGAGAAGAAAGATTGGGAGGTCAGACTCACGATCACATTCCAGTGTTCGACCATATTCCACCCAGAGTAGATCCGGAGGATATTGCTCAAGTTCTGTGGGTGCATTTCGGAATGAATCCGCA